CAGTTGCAAGTAGAAGAAACCCTTGCTCCTCAAACCTCACTTTGTGTAAAACTGTAAGTGATAGCACTCACAGGCTATAATTTAAGTTTATATGGTATCTTATACAGACCACAGTTTAAGGAGATCTGTCTTGCTACATAATGACAATCTGGTCTTGATCAGTCACTAGAACTGTTTGGATTTCAGTTTTCTCATCTTTTACATAGGGCTAATAGTATGTCATGCCCTGGTTATCTGAATTGATACTGCAAGCTTGACACGGAATCATTTATGAGAAAGTGACTTGTAAACTGTGAAGCATTCAAATGATTATTTTTATTCATTATATCTGGTCTTTCTAAGGAGCTTATAAATCCCAGCAGGTACAAGCTGTTTTTTAGTCATCAACTGGTTTTTATAATCTAGGTATATAAAGGAGGGGACCATTATTAGTTGAGCTGCCCTTATGCCCAGCACTGTGTTAGGTAGCTTACATGTTTGTTACATTTTTATTTAATTCTCCTAGCAACTATTTCCTTTTTCTCTAGACCTGGCTATGTCCCAAGAAATAATAGATACTGAGCAAATATATCTGGATTGAAATACCATAGCTGCCCTATACACATTTGGGGGGTTAAATGATATAGTTAGAGAATAGAAGGGTTTTAAATGGTATAAATCTGCTAATGAGTGACAGAATGGCTGTGTCCACTAAGTAGGCAGGAGGTACCAAACATAATAAACATAATCTCATCATCTATTCCACTGAAAAATATCAAACTCCTGCTCTTGAGCTTGATCAAATGTAGAAGGTAATTTGCCTCAGGAAGCTTCTTGGCCACAAGGTAATGTTTTATGAATAGATCCATGTTCAATCCTAGGTATTACATAAAAATTTAATAACTAACCGTATCTCAGAGGGGATTAAAGGGAGACTATACTTTGCTTAACATATGTGTATATGTAAAATTGACCTCTGTTTATAATTACACACGGATCTGTGATTCAAAAAAGGTTTTGATTCCTTCTTATCTGTTTGAGAGTCTTGATGTTGATTTCATTTAGTCTTTCCTATTTCCCCCCTCATGTCAGCACATAATCATAGTTACTACAGTCAACTGGTCTCTTTTCTACCCATGTTCATACTGGAAAATTCCTGCAATTGCTTCCTACCTGGTCTGTTTACCTCTGTTTGGCCTCTTCGGGTCCATTGTCATTTTTAGTAACAAAAATTTATTTCTTATAATCAAAACTGCTCATGCCCTTCCCTTCCTTCCACAGTTCCTCATCATCTATGTGATAAAGTAGAAACACCTTAGTGTTTTAAGCTATTCATCCTCTTTATTACCCTGACTCGTGTACTTATAAGAAATATACTTACACAATAGTCAGATGTTCTACTTTATTGACAGATGTTCAGTTTTCTGAAAATTGCTTGCTTTTTCTTACCTTTTGGCTTTACATAAACTCATAAATATGCTATTCCTCCCCATGCTTAGAATACTCTTACATTTATTTAAGAGTCAGGTCAAGCACTGTTACCTCAAGGAAGCCCTCTTGTTCTATAGTCCCAATCCACCTTCTCCAAGGCTAAATTTGTTCTCCTCCTCAGTACTCACAGAGCCCCCACAAGTCATCACAGCACTTCCTACACCATGGTAGTAGACACTTGGTTTTTGATAGGTCTGACACCTGCACAAATACTACAATTAAAATTATAGACTATTTTAACTGAACTCATCATTACAGAAAGAGAGACCCACAGGTGAAGTGACTCAAGTAGTGGGGCTATAACTCTAGTCTCTTGAGTTTTAGCAATTACTTAAAAAAAAAAATAAAGGAAAAAAAGGAAGGGAACTAACATGTGCAAGGTCTCAGGCATAGAACTGCACAGAATTGGCTCTTTCATACACACTGGCCCTCTGAAACACTTCTCTCAAATATTTGTTCTCGCTATTCTATAAAAGGAGGCTAAGTTTCTGAGAGTCCAAGGTTCTTGAGCTATGTAAGGGCAGAATTGGGATTCCAAGCACGTCTCTGCTTCTTATACTTACTCATCATTTAATACATGTTTTTCTCTCACTTAAACCATTCAAAACTGTAGTAACTGTTAGAGGACAAATAATAGAAGAAAGGGTGGAGGGTGGGAATGGTTTCCAGCAAATACAATTTACATTGGCAAAATGATTCTCTACTCAGCACAATGAACATGCATCACTAAAGGAAGAGGTGAAGAGAAATAAGGAAAAGTAGCATCAGTAGATGAGATCTCTGTTAGCAAAAGCACTATCACCCTAGTTCCCACAGATGCATGGCAAATGTCATGATACACAGGTTGCTGGAAACCATGATGCTAATTAGGGCAAAGATGTCTCTTCCTAGACAAAGTCGGGTGACATCTTTGTGTCCTTTAAAAATAACTTTTGACATTATAGCATAGGTTTCTGTAAAATCTTATATTTAAATGTCAGTATTTCAATAAAATTACCTCCCATTTGTGCAGCATAAAGAATAAGAACATGGGTTTTTACAAAGTCAGACAGAAGAGGCTTTGACACTTTAGGTTTGCCACTTACTAAATGTGTGGCCTTAGCTTCTATGAGCCTTAGCGCCCTCATTTAAAAGATGAAGACAATGATAATGTCCTTCAAAACTGTCATGAGACTGAAATACTACGATGTTTTGAGGTAAAGCACCTGGCACAGGACACAGTAAGTGATGGATCTCGTCCCTTTATCTTCTGCTAATTATAATCTTCCTCCAAGTGCTACATGTATTTGATCCTCACAAGAATCCTGTGAGTCAAACAGGATAGACATTATTATACCATTTCACAGAAACTTTGGAACTCCAGATGATTGGCTTAGAAGCCTCCAGTTAGTGATTACATGAAGTAGAAAATAAACCCATATTTTTCTAGCCCATGTTATACTCAATTTTTCTGCTCACAAATGTCTACATACTTGGCTCTGTGGATATGGCAGTAACTAAGACAGACCAAGTGCTTACATCCATAGAAAATTCCTCTTGACATAGTAGATTTTACAGAAAAGGACACAGGAAATAGCCATAGAAGGCAGAGATGCCTTGCCCCACACACTGAAAGTGAACCAGCTATAAGCAAGGCATCACAGAGAGCATATGTGTATATGCCAGTACCCTGGCTGCTAAAGAGGGATCCCCCCAAAATCTGGCTGGAGGTGACAGCATTTGTCCAAAGTTAATGATATGCTGAAGGGTCAGTTACTTGTTACCACAATAATACAACAAATCCTCTTTCCTCTTCACCACCCTTGGAACAGGCTACGATGTTACTTTAGAAACGTTTCAATGTGTCTATAGAGCTATTTTAGCATTCTCTTAGTTATACCAATCAACACTTCAAAACAAGAGAAACTTGGACATATGTTCTTCCTGATCATGCCTCACATTGAACTAAAACAGTCTTAACACATTAAAAACACGAAGGAAGTTCTTGCTACTTCCCCCTCACACCTCCCTGCCTCATGACCCAGTTTAGGGACTGATTTTACTTGGCTTATGCAATGCCCTGCCTAGTTCCCTGCCCTCACATCTCTTCCCTCCCTAAAACTGGGGCTCCTTGACTCAATATTATTCTTGCAAGTATTTAAGGATCCTTTCTTCAAAAGTTCAGGAAAATCAGAATCAAACTGTCACATCTGTTTCAGACTCAATTTAAGCAATATACAGGTAAATAGTCATTAAATGAGCTATGTATGGTATCTTTAGCCCTGTTTTCTAGCATTTTCTTTGCAACACCATGAGCTTCCTCCATGCACCCCTGCCTCTATCCAAGCTTCTCCCTCCATTCCTGGCCCTAGGATTAGAATGCCCCTCTGCTCCACACTTAGGTCCTGTTTCAGTATGGGCATAATTTCCCCTCTCAGTCTTATGCCCTTCCCCCTTCTTCATAAAAGCCTTCCTATTAGCCAGCTTGATGAGCCAATGTTCCTCAACACCCTCTGTTCAGGCTCCATCAATGCCTATTTCTTCATGCCTACTTTCATACTGTCCTATATGTGAAATAATCCTATATGACCTTTGTCCTCAAAATGCCTAATCTATTCATTTTTCAAGGCCTTCCCTATATCCTATAATACTGGGCAAAATGCAGAAAAATTGTCTAGTATAGAAAGAGTGCATTTTGAGTCGTGTACTCATACTGTGTCTAAGTTCACCAAGGGCATTTCTGAGTCTCAGATACCTCATCTGTAAAATGGTAGTAATAGTACCAACCCCCACACTGATAATAATTTTAGGACTGGTACATTGCAGGTGCTCAGTATAGTTATAAGAGGGTGGGTACACAAACAAGTATCACAGGACTTGGAATGTGATGGGCACCACAGATTCCAGAAAGGAGGTTAATTCACATTTAGTTGCTGGGCTCATGGAAGTCTTCTTATAAGGAAAAACACTTGAACTGAGCTTTGGGAAATAGTTAGAATGTCAATATACAAAGGCAGTAGGGGGAAAAGCATTCTAGGAAGAAATATAGCCTAAGTAAAAACATGCAAATGGGGAAAACAGATTGTAATAAATGAATGGTCAATTTGCACCAGTTGACTGAAGTAGGAAAAGAGGGAAGAATAGCTGAGAGATACATTGCTAGAAATGCTTTTGCTGCAGATGCAAACTATGTCATCTACGTGAACAAATGACTGAAGGGAATATTTATAAAAATTCTAACACCATCGGAAAACATACCAACACTTCTCTGGCATGGGTCCATGAGAAGGTTTCAGTGATAACAATTTGTTTTTTGCCAGCATTCATAAAAGGTGTGAATAAGATTCAGAACTTTTAGTACAAAGGGAAAGCTCAAAGCATGCTTTTTTCCCTTTTCTTTTCTTTCTTTCTTTTTTTTTTTTCTTTTTCTTTTTTTTTTTTTGGTTAAGACACAGCAGCCTTTTTGGGCTTTATTAGAAAATTCTCGTGCCAGCTGTCTCTTTTCTCTGACTCACATTCACACAATATGCCTCTCTCTTGTTTCTCGTCAGCTCTGCACTCAGATACTAATGAGTTTTCGGGAATAGAAAACCCAACGGAATATTAAAATTGGAAAGAGGAGCTCGTTGAGTTAATTTCGCCGAAGTGCATCACAACATACTGCAATGTTGTAAGAACGAATATTCAAATAGGAATTCAGTCATGGGAAAATTAATTAAGGAAAATGTTATTGCTGATATTGCTTTTTATACATATACATATGCAGAGACACACAACCATCTATTGACTTCACTGTTAACAATAATGAAAGTTAACATTTATGAAAGTCAAATGTTGAAGACTGCTTGCTGAGTTGGTGTCAAAAATTTTAACCATGATACAGGAAGCTTTTTCTCAGAGACAAACCCATCATGTGGCTGTTTCACTTAAAATTCTTTAATAAACATCATTCAGAATAAAGGAAAAGTCCTCATGGCTGTATCTTCACTGTGTAGTTTATGTGTATCTTACCTCATTTTACCTTCCTACATTCTTCCAGATATGTTGTATTTTTTCAAATCCTACTATCTTTGCCCATACTGTTCTTTCTGTGTATAACATACTTTGATCCTTTTCATATGCAGCTCAGTAGCACTCCTGCCTCCCTCTGTTAATACACCCTCCTGGGTGTTCCTATAGCACACTGGACTTAGTTGTTAGTTAACAGCAAACACAGTGCACCTACAGAATGCTAGAGACAATGCCAGGCAATTCAGTATTTTATTATCAAAGTCTGTTTATTTGGCTGCCCACCCACAAGACAGTACACTTACTGATTGATTAAACAAATACTATATAGCTGGGCCTCCCTGGTGGCTCAAGGAGTTAAGCACAGCACTATGAAGCTAGCCTTAGCCTCTGCAACATGAGTTCGATCCCTAGCTGACGAGCACATGGCGCAGCAGACCTCTCCTGTCTCACCCACATGGTGCAGCAGACCTCTCCTGTCTCACCCACTGCTCTCCTCAGCAGTGTATTTCAGTCAGTCTGCCTGTTCTGCTCCCCACTCTGTCTCTGGTGAATCCTCTCACCTCCCCCCATCCCGCACCTCTGGCCTATACCCAGTTCTTGTATGCATAAATAAATAAATCTTTAAAAAAAATACTATATAACAGCATTGTACTCAGAACTTGGTTGCAAAGGTGAATAAGAATATAAAAATAGGTTAATTATATATAATCATTACAAGACTTTTGAGTACTTATCTCTACATACCCTAATACCTGAATATATCTTGAATGGACAAGTGTAAAACCAAATGGGTAAGTGGATGAATATGTTGTTCCATAATATGAAGCTTAAGCAAAGCAGCATACAGATTCCAGGGAACATAATATTAAAAAGCAATTTGATGTAACAGTAAGAAAACTGAATTTGGAATCAAAATACTGATATTTGAATCATAGTCCTTGGACTTGCTAAATGTGAGACTTTAACAAAGCCTCAACCCCTGTGAGGTTTAATTTTTCTGAATCAAAAAACACTAACATCTGTTGGTTTAGAAAGAGCTCAAAGTTTTCACTCTTCTCTTCAAACCCAAGGAATAGAATCACAAAAAAGCACAGTGGGAATACTATACCAGGGAATAGAGCTTTTAAGGCCCACTATGATAGTTGGCAGTTGCCTTCTGGAGTGTTAGGTGGTGAAGGATTCTGAGACTGAATCTAGACTCAGAGTAAGAAGTACTGTGATTGATTAGCAATGTCCATGAGAGTACAAGAGAGTGGCTACACAGACAGCCTACTATTTGCTAACACATAAACAATGGATATCCACAGAAAGTTCCTAAGTAGATGAGTGGTGTAAATCTGGGAGCAATAGGGAATGGGGTGGGATAGAATCAAATGAAATGGAGTGGAGACCAAAGAAGAGAACCAGAAAATGGCTAACTGTACCATTACAGAGAATTCACCTTTTGACACAGCTCTCTTAATCTACTTAGAATAATATGCCTTCTTTTGCAGTTTATCCAGCTATGTTATCTTTTTTTCAAAACTGTGAATGCCTTGTTCCTGGCCCTTAGACTAGTTTGACAGTGTTTGTTGGATGAATGAGCAAAAATGAATGAATTAATGAATAACATAAATACAGTTCTGCTGCTTGTCTCTATGACCGCAACCAAATCCTTAATACAACATCAAATTTGATACGGCACTCAACAGTTCACAGAGCACATTCATCTCCATGAATTCATTTGATCCTTGCCATGATCCAGCAGGTGGACAATAGCATAACTTTTTAAAATAAAGAAGTTAAGCTTCCATGATTAAATAGCCTCTTGTATTTTTATCATTTGGCCATCAGTTTCCATATCAATGGAAAAATTTAAAAGTAAATGCTGGTTTGCTTACCTCACTGGTTTGTGGGGAAGTTCCAACCACTGTAAACTAAAATGTACCTGCTTTAATGCAAGGTATGTCTTAATAATACTTCTCTTGTTGGTAATTTTGCCTTCTTAATTTTAGTCTAACAAAAACATCAGAAAGTGGGTTTTGATAACCAAATTTCATTGATAAGATAACTGTGGTTCAGGCCTCCCCTAGTGGCACAGGCGATTGAGCCCCACACTGTGAAGCTGTCCGCAGCCTCTGCAGTGCAGGTTCCATCTGGCTGGGGAGAATCCCACATGGCGAAGCAGACCTCGCCTGTCTTGCCTGCTGCTCCCCTCAGCAGTGTATTTCATCAGTCTGCCTGTTCTGTTCCCCACTCTGTCTCTGGTGAATCCTCTCACCCTCCCGCGCATCTGGCCTGTACCCAGGTTCTTGTATAAATAAATAAATAAATAAATAAATAAATCTTTTAAAAAAATAGATAACTGTGGTTCAAGGCCAAGGTCACTAAAGCTATTAAGTGGTAAAATCACTATGGGTTTCTAAAACCCATACTCTTTTCTCTGAATTATATAACTTTTCTTCAACAGGATACTCTTGTTATAAAATGATACAATTTTTCTTTTTCTTTTCCTCCAAAGACTAAAGATATTAGCCATGGTACATAGCATGTATAAACATAACTCACCTCTGGAAAGACAGGTTGCTAGTATGCATGTGATTCTTCACAGAACTACACAAACCTGGAAGGGATGGCTGACCAGAGGCAAACAGGCACATGCACTAGGATCATGTCTACCTGGACCAACATGTCTGTCTGGGACTGGACCTCTCAGTGGGTCTGAAGCTACACACAATGTTTCTAGGATAAGCAGGGGCTATAAAAGGCCTGAGAAATGCTGCCTATTGAAATGCAGGTCTCACAAAATAATCCATAGCTCCCTTGTCTCCTCAGGGCCTGCAATTCTTGCCTTTGTTCATGGGCCCACAGATGAGTCCTTTATTCTATTGTCTAAACAGCAAAATTATGGTCTCCTAAGGGGAAAAGGTTTGGGTCTGAACTTGACTTTTTATCAATCTCGTTAACTTGGAAATAAGCTACTGATTTGACTTTGCATTCATCAGAGTCAAGGGTGGATTGTGTTGCTTTGTTTCCCTTTGTCCTTAATTAACAGCCATTGAATACCCATATTAATTAGCGGGGCTGAGAGATATTTTGCCTCACCCTTCACCATGATATATAATTAAAAGTCCCATTAATAAAATAGCTGCATTCATAATTTCTATAAACCTATTATGAAACAATAAACATGATTATAGGGTAGCTTCCCTTTTTTCTCCAAGCCTCCCTTCACTGTTCTTGTCTATTTCCATAAAGATCTTAGTATTGCACAGGAAAGGACAGACTAGCAGAGGTTGTAAGTGGTTACTTTGATCTGATCATTCAATGTGTGTAATTAACAGGATAAATCAGGCAAAAGTGTTATTGAGAAAAGAGTTAGAGAACCACTTGAACTAGTAATACGATACGGTCTTATAAGCATAGAACTCATAGGACTTTAATCTCTGAAAGTTCTGTTCTTAATTGGACCAGAAGTATCCATCATGGAAGTCCTGACTTTTTTACTCAATTCAATTTAGAAAATATTATTCAGTACACACTGTCTGTTGAGCACAGTAAGTGAGAAATAGAAATGAATCAAAAATATTTCCTGATGAATCAGAAACAGTGCCTGCCCTCAAAGAGTGTGTCATCTAGAAAAATGGTTAAGTCCCTTAAACAACCAACTCAGATACAAAGAAGGCCCTGTATGGTAAGAGAAGAAAGGCATGAAACTTTCTCTAAATTGATGCCTCTCACTGCACTACAGGCTAGATTGGGAGTTTTTTCCTAGTTTTTTTCTAGGTTTTTTTTTTTTTTTTTTTTTTTTTTTTTAGTACACACTGTATGTGTGTATTTCTCCAATCATATAATTTATCAAAGATGCTTCTCTATTCCAAAATGAAGTAACAATTAATTTTAACATAAATTAAATTTGTGTTAGTTTAATATTCTTACTGCTGGCATATTGTGGACACCTCATAAATATCTATCAAATAAATGAATAAAAGGGCATCTGAGTATTAGCCACTCTTCTTGATCAATTATAATAACCTTACACAACAGAAACAAAACTCAAGAGAACACACACTTCATAAACATTCTCTTATTTGATACTTACAATGGCCCTTGTCCTATTTATGAAAGAGAGAGAGATGGCAAAAAGATTAGCTGATGAGGAGAAGATACCACTCACACTGGCTGATGCTAAACCTACTGCTCTTTTCTTTACAACATGCCTCGGTTCTTATTCTCCAGAAAAGTCCATCCTCTATTTAAAAGTCTACCTAGGTTCCAGTCATAAAAGATCCTTTTCAGAATTCATACACAAATGTTAATACTCAGTAAGCTAGTGTTTCCCAGTCTGAGAGTATTTCTTTTTTATTCCTGTTGGATTTGAATCCTCAAACTCTCTCTTCAGTGGACACTTGAAGACAGTTTTCTGCTTCTGTCTCTACAACATTCTTTTGCTCTTAATGGGCCCACAATAGTCCTTGTGTTTGCTCAATATAAAGTTCCTAATATATCCTGTGCCAATTACTCCTCAGGGATTTAATTCTTGTACCCTCTTGTATCCTCTTTGGGGTAGATTACATAATAGTGACTTAATAATTATGGATTATCTTCAACATGCAATATCCTACCTGCAAAATCCCTTCTTAGAGAAATTCTTCCCTCCCAGGATTCTACACTGCTGACTCCCTTTTGTCACCTTTCATTTGCTTTTCAATCTTCAGCATAAGGGCTTCTACCATTAAAATTGCTCTCCACAGAATTCTCCTGGTGGTCCATTGCAAGTTTCTTTAATGCCCTTGGTTAAGTATATTTCTCCCAATCTTTCTAAATGATTCAACAGTCTGTTTTAAAATAATCTCTTCAAAAGTTACTTGGCAATGGTTTCTTGGAGACTGAGTTGAGGGTGGCAGGGAGGAGTGGTATGGTGAGGACATGTTAATTGTCTCAGTTGAAATGATGGTTTCATAGGTGTAT